CCAGGCAGGGTAGGGCCCTCGATGGGGGCTCCCCAAAGTCCACAATATCATCCTGGGCCGGGCCTAGGAACTCTAGCTTTTTTTTTCATCTCTTTATTAGACCAATCAGGTGTTTTAGACAGGCACAGTAACACAGCTTCACAGAGTTAAACAAATGACACATAAAATAAAGCAACACATCTTATATCATTAAACAAGTGTTCCACAGCATAAACAATGTAACACATCTTAAAATACTATTCCACATTTCTCTTTTGTCTATATACAAATGAAAGGTTTTAACTTTAACATAGGAAAACTATATACAACCAAAACAATTGTCAAGAATTACATTTACAATATTCAGTCCATTGATATTTAGCAAATTCAGAGAAAATACTCATCTATCTTATCTTACTGACTCCAAGTTTCATACCTAATTTACTTTCTAACATAATTAAGGAAAACTGCAACTATAACTATCTAGTCTTCAACTCTAGCCAAGACCCCACAAGGATATAGTATTGCCAGAGTTAACAGAAGTGCATTGCAAACAAGTTCCAAAACTCTTGAAATGACAGAGATATCTGACTGCCTGGACAGTCACCCAAAGTTCTCTGCAGTGTTGGGGCATCCATCTTCAGCCTACAGGCTTAGAGTACCTGGTAGACTTTTCCAGGAAGCAGGAAATTAGAAGGACTGCCATTCTTTGTTTTGGCAGAGTTCAGCAGTCACTTTCCTGTGGGTCCTGCATGTCCAGTTTACACAACATACTGTCAAGTATTCAGGCAAGAGGAGTTTCTTGCAGAAATGGCTAGCCTTGCCACCTTGAGAGCAAAGTTCTATGCAGTTTCTCCAATGCCCAGCATCTTCTCTAAAGTAAATTGGTGCAGACAGGAGCAGATGTGTCTCATTGTCATGAAAAACCTTTTGTTAACAAAACATTTTCAGTGTCATATTCACCGGGTGTTGGTGGCATATGCCTATAATCTCAGCACTGGGGAGGCAAAAGCAGGCAGATCTCTGTGAGTTCGAGGCCAGAGTGAGTACCTGGATAAGCTCCAAAGCAATACAGAGAAACCCTGTCTTGAAAAAACCAAAAAAAAAAAAAAAAAAAAAAAAAAAAAGAAAGAAAGCCTATCAAAAATCAATGTCATATTTTACAGGTCTTTGAAGTGCTTGAGGACCCCATTTATGTATCTAAATATATCTCACCTGGAAAACATACCTAATGTGACTACAAGTTGGATTATTATAGACTAACTGCTAACCTCATTTCTTAATTATACATTACATTTTTTTCTGAGATAGGGTTTCTCTGTAGCTTTTGGAAATACATTTTTAAATGAACTGCATAAGTACAACACTACAAACAAGAGTAAAAACATATATACAGTGTAACAAAAATAGCTTTACATTTGTATCAATGTACTAAGACCCATGCCAGTGCAAATATATGAGGTTAATAGTTAGTTATCCTCTAATCCTATATTCCCCTAAATTTAGCAGACATCCATGACCCACCAAATAACCAAAAGCCTCCAACAACCCAACTCTTGGGAATGTGGGTGTCATTTTCTCTAGACGGCTCCCTGTTTTCTGTGGGCAAAGGCATCTTTAGGGGTCCCTGAGAAAAAAATTGAGGTAATGGTCAAGTACTGGGACCATTTTGTTCTATCTTACCTGTCAAGATTCAGGAGTTCTTTTCTGATTAAATCTGACCCATATCAATTCTGAAGGAACCCACAGTCTCTCGTTTCCTGTGGAAATAAAAGCAAAACCTCTTCCCCAAAGCATTTTTTGACTTCTATTTTGACAAATACATTTTTGTTTTTTTGGTTTTTCGAGACAGGGTTTCTCTGTGTGGCTTTGGAGCCTATCCTGGCACTCACTCTGGAGACCAGGCTGGCCTCAAACTCGCAGAGATCTGCCTGCCTCTGCCTCCCGAGTGCTGGGATTAAAGGCGTGCACCACCAATGCCCAGCGACAAATACATTTTTTGACTTCCATTTTAAAGGCATTCTTAAAATATCTAGGCTGGTTTATTTCAGCAGTCCTTTCAATTCTATGTCTCTTAGCACCTGTTTGCTTATCAACAATCAGAAAGTTCAAAACCAACACAATTAACATACAGGATCCAGACTCCCTTTCCTATCTTACATGGCTTTTTTTTTTTTTTTTCTCTTTTATATTACTTTTACTCTCTCTTTAAAGACTGGAACCTGTTTAGAGGTTTTCCTGTCTGGACATCTTTTACTGTCTATCTTTTAGCCTTTTTTGACTTTGTGAGCAAACTTTAAACTGCTAAGCTGTAGCTGGGTCCCCCACACAGCTCTATGGGCTGACCCCACCGGCTCAGCATGCTTCTAGGTTTGTGAGAGCCAAGCCTAAAGCTCGCGGCCTGGTCAGAGGTGTCTTTGACCAGGAACTGCATTCAGGCCCCTAGCCAGTGCCCTGCACCTTGGCAGGTGGTTCTACTTAGTTTTTTTGTTTCTATTTAGTGTGAGCCATGCTGTTCCCAACCCAAGTTCTGCTGCATGGCAAGACCTCTTAAAGGAGTTGTATTTTTTTTTTTTTTCTTTTCAAACTTTCTCAGGCCCTATGGAAATTTGAGCCTCATTTTGGGTGCCAAATTGTAGGTTTTTTTTTTTTCTTCTATTTTGGTTCTTTGCTCTTTGGGGGATCACCACCCAGCTCCCAAATAAATCACAGAGAGTCATATTCTTTCTTATGAGGACCTGGCCTTACCTTGGCGTTTTTCTAGCTAGCTTTTCTTAAATTATCCCATCTGCCTTTTGTCTCTTGGCTTTTGTTTTTCTCTATTCTATATACCTTTCTTTACTTGTTACTCTGTGGCTTGCAGTATATCTGGGTGGCTGACCCCCATTATCCTCTCCCCTTTTCTCATTTCCCTATTTATTCTCTCTGCCTGCCAGCCACACCCCCTTCTTTTTCCTACCTCGCTATTGGCCATTCAGCTCATATTAGACCAATCAGGTGTTTTAGACAGGCCCTGCCCAGGATGATGTGTTGGACTTTGGGGAGCCCCCATTGAGGGCCCTCCCCTGCCTGGGGAGTGGATACTGGGCTCAGAGCGCTTCTGCTGTGTGCTCATTATAGGAAATGGGATACAGGAAACGAAACTGGACTGACAGTTAATGAACTGAAGGCAGGATTACAGCCTGGTCTGGTGGCCTTTGAGTCTTCACTGTGCCTAAACACTCTCCACAGGACAGCTGTTCAGCTAAAGTACACAGCATCCTAGTTTTTTTTTTTTTTTTTTTTACAACAAACCAAAGAGAACCCATCACATTCTCTACCTTTCTCTATCACGGGACCCAACTCATGAAGCCAAGTTAATCTCTGGTTCCCTGGTCAACCAGGGTTAGGAAGAAGGTGTCTCATTGACTGGTTTAAGATTACATGGTTCTCAGTCTCTCTTTTCCTTTAATGAACAGCTGCCCAGTCCTCTGTCTTTTTATCCCCCACTCCATACCTGCTCCTGTCCCTAACACTGTCTTTGTCCCTCCTTAGGTCGGGTCTGTTGAGCCACAGGTGGACCTACAGCCCCATGCACAGGCCCAGCGACTGGTGGTAGCTGGCAATGGCTGTCCAGAGTCCTGCTGGAAGGGCAGAGGGAGCTTGAACATGGAGACAACCAACTCAACTCACCCCCTACAAGGTGTTTTTCCGGGGAAGGGGGGTAGAAGTGGAGAAAAGGAGGTGCTGAGGTGCTAAAGGGGAAGGTACATAAGAGATGGCCAAACACAGAGGCCAAGGGACACAGAACCAGCAGACATCATTCCCTATACACCAGGTGGTTGTTGAGAATTGAACTCTAGTCCTCAGCAAGAGCAGAAGTGCTCTTCCTTTTTCTTTTCTTTTTTTCCTTTTTGGGTTTTCTGAGACAGGATTTCTCTGTGAGACTGTCCTGGAACTAGTTCTTGTAGACCAGGCTGGTCTTGAACTCACAGAGTTCTGCCTGCTTCTGCCTCCCGAGTACTGGGACTACAGGTGTGTGCCACTACTGCCCAGTAGGCAGAACACACTCTTAAGTGCTGAGCCATCTCTCCAGCCCCTGTAATGGTTGATTGTCAGCTTCACACACTGGGGAGGGAGAGCTTCAGTGGAAGGATTGTCTGCATCACATTGGCCCATGGACACAGCTGTTGGGCAAGCACTTTCTCTTTTCTTAAACAGAATTTTTTAAAATTTTTATTTATTTATTTATTTATTTATATTTATTTATTTATTTTGTTTTTCGAGGCAGGGTTTCTCTGTGGCTTTGGAGGCTGTCCTGGAACTAGCTCTTGTAGACCAGGCTGGTCTCGAACTCACAGAGATCCGCCTGCCTTTGCCTCCCGAGTGCTGGGATTAAAGGCGTGCGCCACCACCGCCCGCCTGAAAATATTTTTAAATGGAGTCAAGCTTATACACACAAGTTTGATTCCTGGAACCCATTTAAATGTAGAAGGAGAGAAGAGACTCCACAGAGTTGTCCTCTGACCTCCAATGTGCACAAAACACTCTCTCAGTTTCTCTTTCTGGCTCTCTCTCTCTCTCTCTCTCTCTCTCTCTCTCTCTCTCACACACACACACACACACACACACTCTAATTAAATAATTAATTAAAGATTGAATTTATAACTGGCTCTACCTCAAAGGCTGTGTCAGGTCTTGGGACAGACTTAGCACTTAGTTTATACACTTAACATGGAGGATTGTTGGGGCCAGTACTCCTGCTTAGGACCACATGTCACTATCTGCACCCCTCAGACCCAACACCAGGAACAATATCTATATCTTCTTATGATCTCAAAGCATCCATTAGGGAGGGACTTGGCACTTTGACAGTCACTCCATTTGAGCTGCTGTGGGGTGTTGAGCTAGCCTTTTCTCTTTGCCTTTGTGACAGCACTGATTCAGGCTCTGCCAGCCAGACTCTGTGCTGACTGGACACTGTCAGAGCACAGCCACAAGATTTTAAAGAGAGAAGTCACTGAGTCCTCCCCTCACTCAAGATGAAACTCCTACTGGTCACTCTGCTCACAGGTAGAACCCTTGTCCCCTCTGAGTGCCCCACCATCTCCCTTGTCTTCAATGCACAGACCCCCGCTGGTCACTCCTGAAGTTCTGGTTTTGTGTTCCTCTTGGGGGTCTTACAACCTGTGGGCTCAGGTCCCCTTCTCTCCTCCCTGTCCACAAGAGCTGGAACCTTTAGCCTCTAGGTCTGAACTCGCAGGGTCTTAGCCCAAACAGGGAAGGCTGAGCTGGGTCTCAAGAAGGGTAAGTGTGCTGCTCCCTCTCCCATTCCCCAGCCTCCCAGAATCCCGGAGACATTCAGATGCAGTGGGGTGTCTAGTCAAGCAGCAACTCATTTATTGTCCCACAGCAAGCATCTTTTAAAGCAAAAAATGCAGAACGGGAAAACAGCCAGCCAATGGTTTTGAAGGTCAGCCTACCATGCTCCTAGTGCCTAGGCTTTACCTAGTGAACATGAACTGTTCATGCAGTGACCTCATCAGGTTCGATCTAGGCAACCAATCATCTTTATTTGTAAACAACTCAGGACTCGCTCATATGACTTCCCCTCAGCACCATCTTTGACTCATGTGTGCCCTACATGAACTCAGATGAGCCCTTAGAAAAGTCCACTACATTCATCTACCCAAGCAAAGACAGCCCCTCTGCCTCTGCCATATTGCCCCGGCATCCATTTTCCTGGCCCTAAGATGCCCTGGCAATTTGATTTTTCTCATCCTTTTAAAAATATCCACTTTTATTTTAGGTGTATGAGTGTTTTGGTTGCATGTCTGTCTGTGAACTGTGTGATCAGTGCCTACAGAGGCCAGAAGAGGGGTTTGATATTCCAGAACTGGGGTCACAGACAGCTGTGAGTTGCTATGTGGGTGCTGGAACCCAGCCTGGGTCTTATGAAAGCTCAGTCAGTGCTCGTGTGACTGCTGAGCCATGTCTCCAGTCATTATCATCGTCATCATCATCATCATCATCATCATCGTCATTGTTGTTGATGATGTGATGTTATAATGTAGCTGAGGAAATCTTCCAACTCAACATTATAGCCCAGACTTGTCTCAACATCCCAAGTGTTAGGATTACATACATGCCTGGCTTGTACTTGCAATTCTATTTTTTCCAGTTTATAAGACAACGTTTCTCTGTGTAGCCACTGCTGTTCTGAAACTCACTGTGTAGACCAAGCTGACTTTGAATTCAGATATTCACTTGCCTCTGCCTCCAGATAGCTGGGATTAACCAGTGTGTGATCCACTGTACCTGGCTTCTCCTTCATATTAATGGTGGCCAAGTACCACATTGCAGACTGAATCCTGGCTTATTTACCTATTCCTCAGCTGTTGAACAGTTTGTTATGTCAAATACAGATGTTACACATGATGATCTGGTCATCAGCCTTGTATATGATCATTGTGTGTCCATACAACAGGTTCCTTCTAATTCTCCAGTGTGAAACAATAAGCATGTGTTGGGTGCTTCTCTGGCTTAAGGTCTTAAGTGATGAATCCCACTGCTGGCTAAGGCTAGGGTTTCACTTAGGCTTGAGTAGGGGTAGGGCAGGTTTCACACTCAAGAGATGATTGGATTGTTGGGTTATTTAACTAAAAGGTCAGTCCATCCCTGGCTGCTGACTGGAGAATGTCCTCAACTCCTCAACACAGGCACCACAGGGCAACTCACAGTGTGTCAGCTGTCTGTCCTGACAGTGAGAAATGAGAAGGCAAGCAAGGCAAAAGGCAATGTGTATAGAGAGACATTGGAGAGTCAGCCCAGCCCAGTACAGTGGCATTCATTTATAATCTGACCACTGGTGTGGCTGAGGTTAGAGGGTTGTTAAAGAGTTGGAAGCTAACCTGGGTTATAGGGCAACTTCCTGTCTCAAATAAATAGACACCTTTCTGCTCAGGCTTTGTGACTTGAGGTTGGTCTCCAAGACCAACAGAGTGGAGGGAAAACACTAATATGTTAAAGCTGTCTTCTGTGTAGCATGACATTTATATAGGTGCTTCCCAGTGTGTGCAAGCACACCACACACACACACACACACACACACACACACACACACACACACACACATCCATTCACTGCTCTCCTGATGCAGCAGCTGGTAGCAGTTAGGAGGAAGCTAGCAGGAAGGCGTCAGACCCTGGTAAAGCCAAACTGGGTTGATGGAATGTGCTGTGCATTCTTGCAGCAGGCGCTACAGCACAGGGCATCAGCCCTCGGGCTGTGTGTCAATTAGGCAATGTGTTCCAGTGCACCATTTCCAGGATTCATCCTTTGAAGCAGTATAACAACTATGGCTGTTACTGTGGCTTAAGGAGCTTAGGCACTCCTGTGGATGAGTTAAACAGCTGAGTGACCCATCTTGTGGAGACTCCAGTGTCTGGGTATGGCTGGGGATAGGACACAGGCGGAGCATCTCACTTGGCACCAATAGGAGACATGTATTCACTAACATCATTTATTTTGTTTTGTTTATTCAATATATATATATATATATATATATATGTATATATGTATAGTTTGGTTTTTTCCAGACGGGATATCTGAATAACCCTAGTTATCCTGGAATTCTCTGGAGACCATGCTGACCTTGAACTCAGAGGTCTCCAGCCTCTGCATCCTGAGTGCTGAGATTAAAGGTGAGCATCACCACACCCAGCATGTATTTTCACCTCTTGTCATTTAAACAGGTCAAGAGAACCCCTATCTAGTGGTCCCTGAAAATATAGTGTCTGAGATGTAAACAGTGTACAATGCTGAAGTCTATCTCCAGACTAGGGAGGGCATGGTCAACCACCACAGCCATAAGAGAGTGTCAGCCTTGGCTTTAAAAACTCATTAAAACTTTAGAACTTATCATTTAACTACATTCCTGCAGCTTTGTTTAAAGAACCACTTTTTGACTTATCCTAAACTCAGAGATCCAATATCCACCATCTCAATGACTGGGATTAATGGTGGAACCACCACACAGAAGTTTCTTTCAATAAATATGGACAAATGGAAATCAGAGATTCTCAAGATCAGGACCATTTCTTCAGGAACATTGTGTTTAAATCATCCTCACATGTTTGAGAGACACTACAGGTGAGAACTGACCTCTTGCGGGTCCATACTTCTCCCTCATCTGTTCCTTCCTCTCCCCAGGTGCTGCTGGACTTGGGACAACTGCTACAATCAGGCCAAGGATGTGGAAAGCTGCAAACTCCTCATAGGCATCCCCTACACCATCTCCTACATATTCTCCTGCAGGGGTAGGTTTACCCTCCGGAAACCATGGATTCTGCTTGTCCCTGGGGGAGTTTAAAAGGGACATGGAAGTAACAAGGACAGGCACCATTTAGCAGTCATTTCCTTGGTCCCGTTTGACATCACAACAGCCTTATGAGGTAGACACTAAAATACAGATGAGGTCCCTGATGAGGAAGATGAGGAAGGCTGGTCCACATGCCCAAGGTCACCCAGCTTAGAAGTGATGGCGTTTGGTTCTGGAACACAGGTCTACATCATTCCAAAGCCTATTTTTAAAAACATTGAAAAATTTTATGTAATTCTGGTGGAGGCATGCCTGTGCCACAACACAGGGGTGGAGCTCTGAGGACAACGAGCAGGAGTCTGTTCTCTCCTTCAACCATGTGAGTCCTGGGGAATGGAACTCAAGTTCACACTTGGCAACAAGTGCATTTATTCCCTGAGCCATCTTGCCTGCCCAAAGCCTCTCCTATTAGCTGCTGTGTTATATGATTCCATGTTTACTAAACAATGGGAAGCTGCATCGTTGGCAATAAGCACTGGACCAAACACCTCTGCAGGGCAAGATTTACCATTCCCATTATACAGGTGAGGATTCAGAGGGCTGGAAATATAGGTCACTTGCTAGAGAGCTTGTCTAGAGTGCGCAGAACCCTGGGTTCCACCTCCAGAACCCATACATTGAGTATGGTGGTGCACACCTGCAATCCCAACACTTGGGAAGTGGAGGCAGGAGGATTGTCTTAAACCACATAAGTTTAGAAGTGGTGGTTGATATTTGTAGTTTTCTTGGTTTTAGGAATAATTATTCCTGTTCATTTATTTTATGTATAGGAATGAGTTAGTATCCTGTGGGTACTTCACTCACTCTCTATCACGTCTATAGAGGCTGGGTCTCCCACTAAACAGGACACTCACCTTTAGCTAGCCTGACTGACCAACAAGTTTTGTGGATCTGTACTCCCCAATTCCCAATAGAGTTATGGATGCCTCAAGCCCACCTTGCTTTTTACATGGGCCCGTGGCATTGTAGGTCAGGAGGTTTGTATGGCAACCACTTTACCAACTGTGCCATCTTCCTAGACCCACAACAAAGGATTTTCCTTTTTTTTTTTAGTTTTTCAAGATAGGCTTTCTCTGTGTAACTGCTCTGGCTGTCCTAGAACTTGATCTGTGAGCCAGGCTGGCTTGAAACTCACTGAGACCTTTCAGCCTCTGCCTCCCTAGTGCTGGAATGATTTTTCTTTTACATAAGTATGTTCCAACAGTTTGGGCAACCACAATGTACTTTTCTTTGCTTTGTCTCTCAATTCTGAGTCTGCACAGATGGGAGGTCCACTGGCATCTTTGGTTACAAATTGTGTAGGGCAGAGTCAACTTCCTTTCTTGTTTCCCTGCAGACAAAAACAACACCTGTGAGGACAACATCTGCAACTGTGACTGACAGGCTGCCATCTGCTTCTCCAAGGCTCCATACAACAAGCAGTACAAAAACTGCAACCCCAAGAGATTCTATTAAACTCATCACCTCAGTTATTGCCTACACCATCCCTGCCTGCCTGGTTGTGTTCACTGCACACTGTGCCCTCTGATAAAGCATCTATAGAAAGAACTGGGCTTTGGTGACTGTATTCTCTGTCTGCCAAACATAACTAGGTTCTCAGAGAACATCATTCCCTCTAGTGCTGGAAACGGAAGATTAATGGAAAAGACATTGCCTTTGGGAGAATACATGGAGAGTGGGTGATGAGCTGGGCCATGCCTTTCATCCCAGCACTCTGGGATGGAGAGAAAGAGGCCAGGGCATGAAGATCTATTGAGTTCAAGGTCATCCTGGTCTAGAGTACTACACAAAGAAACCCTATATGGAAAAACAACTACAACAAAAGAACTCAGCATGAGATACATGAGGCAGGGAAAGATGAGGGAGGGTGTGGGAAAGGAAAGGAAAGGAGGGGAGGGGTAGTCAGGAGGGAAGAGAAGACAGAGAGGTATCAGGTCAGAGAAGAGAGAAAGAAGCAGTGTCCCATGGGCACCAAGGGCATCATCTTGACCCTACAAATACCGGACTGTGTGCTCATTCTAGGAAGCAGGATGCAGGAAACCAAACTGGATTGATGGTAAATAACCTGAAGGCAGGATTACATCCTGGTGACCTTCCAGTCTTCACTGTGTCTAAACACACACCACAGGATAATTAGTGTCCTGCTTAAGTACACAGGATTCTAGATTTTTGCTACAACAACAACAGCAACAACAAAAGAACATGTCTTCTCCTCTACCTTTCTCTATCACAGGACCCTGTAGGTAAAGCCAGGTTAATATCTGGTTCCCTAATGAACCAGATTGAGGAATAAGATGTCTCATTGGGCTCCCACTTGGAGATGTGAGTGTCTGCCTTCTAGGCCCTAATCTCCCAGGGCACATCTGCATCCCACCGCCACCCACTGAAGCCCCAGAAATTTGAGAATAGCCTCTCTACACCCCAGGCCATCCTCCGCAGCACCTGTGACCACTAGAGCCTTGTCCAGGCCCCCAAAAGGAGAGGTGAATGCCTGGGTCCCTGGCTGGAGGACCCTCCCCTTTAGGCCCTAAGCACCTGGGGCCTGTCCTGTGCCCCACCTCCACCCACTGAAGCCCCAGAGACCTCCTCACACCCCAGGCCATCCTCCTCCAAGGTATCTGCAACCACTGGAGCTTCAGCCCCACCCCCACCGGGAGAGCACAGCCCCACCCCCACCCAGAGACTTGGGAGCAGCCTCCCCATACTTCAAGCATCTGTGATCACCAGAGCTTTGAGCTGCCTTGTAGGAGACTGGAGTTTCTGGGTTGTGGTGGGGACAGGACACAAGCAGAGAATCTCATGAAGCACAAATAGTAGAAATGCAAATTCGCCAAATGTCATATATTATATATGGTTTAGTTATTATTTTTTGTTTCTTTGTTTCCAGACAGGGGTTCTCTGTGTAGCCCTAATTGTCCTGGAACTCTCTCTTGGAACCATGCTGGCCTTGAATGCAAATATTGTTCCTCTTCTGCCTCTTGAGTGCTGAGATTAAACTTGTGCATCACCACACCCAGCATGTATTTTCCCCTCTTCTCATGCAAAGAAATCAGTCAAAAGGACCTCATATCTAGAGGGCCCTGAAAACAGAATGTGTGAGATGTAAACAGTGTACAATGCTGAAGTCTAGTACCAGAGTGGGGCATGGACAGCTATAACAGCCACCATTAAAGTGTCAGCCTTGGCTTTGAAAAGTTATTGAAACTCCAGAATATAGGATTTCACTCTACTTTTGTATGTGACAACTGACTTCCTGTGGGTCCATGCTCCTCCCTCAGCTGTTCCTTCCTCTCTCCAGTGCTGCCAGACTCATGACCACTGCTATGCTCAGGTCAATAACCTAAAAACCGTACATTCCTGGTGGGCAACCCTACACCAGCTCCTACTCATCCTCCTGCTCTGGGAATGAGGTCACCTGCAGTGGGAGGTTTGCCCTGCAGGACCTGTGGATTCCGCTGGGCCCTAGGAATGTTTGGAAGGGACAGGGAAGTAACAAGGACAGTCACCATTTAGTGGTCATTTCCCTGATCCCATTTGACATCACAACAGTCTTATCACATAGATACTTGAAATATAGACGAGGACATTGATGGGGGTGGGTGGGCTCTAGCTGCACCTGTTACTCATCAGGCCTGATTTTGGGAGGGGAGTTCTGAGCTTTGGGACACCAGTGGGAATGGGGTTGGGGGCAAAAGGCAGAGGACTTGGCAGTTGTTTGCTAGAGGAAAAGAGCAACTGAGAACCATGTAGTCTTAAACCAGCCAATGAGACATCTTATTCCTAAATCTGGTTGAGCAGGAAACCAGAGATTAACCTGACTCTACATGCAGGGTCCCCTGATTGAGAAAGGTACAGGAGAGAAAGTGTGCTCTTTTGTTTGTTGTAAAAATGCAGGCTTTATCAGGACAATTACCCTGTGGCATGTGTTTAGGTTCAGTGGAGACTCCTGCCCTCAGGTCATTTACTGTCACTCCACTTTGGTGTCTTACTATCCAACTCCCTAGAATGAGCACACGGAAGAAACTCTTGAGTCCAGTATTTCTAGTGCCAAGATGTTGTCTTTGGTGCCCATGTGACACTTCTTTCTCTCTCCCCTCCTACCTCTCTGTCTTTTCTTCCTTCCCCATCCCCCCCCTTCTTTCCTGTCCCTGTCCCTGATCCGTCTGTCCCCTCCCCTTCCCCTTCTGTCTGGTCCAAGCCCCTATGAATCTCAGGCTGACTTTCTCTTTGAGAAAAGGTTTCTGTAATAGTCCTGTCTGTCTGGAACCCACTTTTTACACCAGGCGTGCCTCAAACTCAAGAGATCTTTCTGCCTATGCCTCTTCCTCTCTATGCCAGAGTGCGGGGAGGAAAGGCATGCCAAGGCTCCCCTAATGGTCTTTCCCATTAATCCTCAGCTTCCATGGCTAGAAAGAATGATGTTCTCTGAGGATTTAGTTATGTTCTGTAGACAGGGAATACAGTTGTCAAAGCCCAGTTCTTTCAATAGGTTCTTTATTAGAGGCACAGTGCGTAGTGAACACAACCTGGTAGGCAGGGATTTTGTAGGCAGTAACTGAGTTGATAACTCTAACAGTGATGGCCTTTGTACTGCTTGTTGTATGGAGCCTTGGAGAAGCAGATGGCAGCCTGGTTGTCACAGTTGTAGATCAAGTCCTCACAGGCTTTGTTTTTTGTCTGCAGAGAAACAAGAAAGGAAGTTGAGTGGGGCCCATGACACTGCTCCCTATGATTTGTAACCAAAAGACACCAGTGGCCCTCCCACAGGTGCAGACTCAGGCTTGAGAGCCAAAGCACACAAAAGTATGTGGGGTTGCCCAAACTGCTGGAACACACTTACAATAAAAAATTATTTGTTCTGTGGCTGGGGAGCTGGTTCCGGTGGTAAAGCAGTTGCCATAAAGTATGAGGGCCTGAGTTCTAATGCCCAGAGCTCGTGTAAAAGCAGGGTGTGGGGCTGCAGAGATGGCTCAGTGGTTAAGAACATGGACTGCTCTTCCAGAGGACCTGGGTTCAATTCCCAGCACCCACATGGCAGCTCACAACTGTCTGTAACTCCAGTTCCAGGAGATCTGAAACACTCAAGCCAGTGTACAGAAAATAAAATCAAGTATATTTTTAGAAAAGCTAGGCTTGGTTGGAACATCTATAACATTATTGGGGATGACAGGAGCACAGATTACTAAAACTTGTTGGTCAGTCAGAGTAGCTAAAGGTGAGTGTTTCATTTATTGAGAAACCCAGCTGTAGATGGAGTTTTTAGTCAGGCCCACCAGCTGCCCCCAAACCCTACTGATGGGTGAAGTACTTCTGTGTATGTTTATCTCATTGATTATTTAATAAAGTTCTGTTTGGCCAATGAAACAGCAAGTTAGACAGGACTAGGAGTCAAAGAGGATTCTGGGAAATGTAGTAGAGAAGTGGTGATCCAGGCCGAAGTGACATAGCAAGGAGACTCATATTTGAGCAAGGAGAAATAGAAAATTGCCCCCTTTCCCCCTCCGCTCTTCCTCTAGTGGAGCAATGTGATCCACTGGCAAGGAGGGACGCCAATAAGGCGTCCAATAAGATAAGTCTTATAAAATATATAGATTTATGATAATTAAGACTGAGCTAATAGATGATATATCCTAGTCATTGGCCAAGCAGCTTTGAACTTAATACAAGTTTCTGTGTATTCATTTGGGCCCTAACTCGGACGGGCGGCTGGTGTAAAGCGAACAGGTGGCGGTGGGGCTCGGGCGGCCTTTGGTGGAAAGATTTATCGTAACACTCCACAAACCCTTGTCATTAATTATAAATGCTTGGCTGAGAGTTCAGGTATGTTAGTAGCTAACTCTTACATTTTAAATTAACCCATATTTCTTATCTACACTCTGCCTTGTAGCTGTGCCTTCTTTCTTTCTTTTTTTCTCTTTCTTTTATTAATTTATTTTTTACATTCCAATCCTAGTTACCCTTTCCTCCTTTCCTCCTGCTCCCTCCATACCCCTCCCATCTGCTCCACAGAGAGGGTAAGGAAGTTTACTAAGTCTGTCCCATCATCTAGTTGAGGCAGGACAAAGGCATCGCTCCATCCTCACACCCCTGTGTCTAGGCTGAGCAAGGTATCTCTCCATAGAGAATGGGCTCCACTAAGTCAGTTTGTACGTTAGTGTTAGGTCTTGGACCCATGAACAGTGGCCTCTTAAATTGTCCCAGTCATACCATTATCACCTATATTAAGGGAGTCCAGTTTGGTTTTATGCAGATTCCCCATTAGTCAGACCCGAGTCAGTGATCTCTCATTAGCTGGGGCAGCTGATTCTGTGGGTTTTCCCTTCATGGTCTTCACTCCTTTGTTTATATTTTTGCTCCTCCCTCACTTTGATTGTACTACACGAGCTTGACCAATTGGTTAGTTGTGGATTTCTGCATCTGTTTCCATCTGTTTCTGGAAGAGGGTTCTAGCTTCTCTGGGGTTATTGATTGTAGGCTGGGTATATTTTGCTTTATGTATGGTATCCTCTTATGAGTGAGTACATACTATATTTGTCTTTCTGGTTTTGGGCTACCTCATTTAGGATGGTTTTTTCTAGTTCTGCCCATTTGCCTGCAAATTTTAGGATGTCACTGTTTCTTATTGCTGAGTAGTATTGCAATGTGTAAATATACCACATTTTCTTTATTCTTCAGTTGAGGGGCATCTAGGTTGTTTCCAAGTTCTGGCTATTACAAATAATGTTGCTATGAACATAGTTGAGCAAATGTCCTTGTGGTGTGAATGTGCCTCCTCTGGGTACATGCCCAACAGTGCTATTGCAGGGTCTTGAGGTAGGTTGATCCCTAATTTTCTGAGAAATTGCCATACTGATTTTCACAGAGACTTACAAGTTTGCAATCCCACTAGCAATGGAGGAGTGTTCCCCTTTCTCAACATCTTCTCCAGCATAAGCTGTCATTGGTGTTTTTGATTTTAGCCATTCTGATTTGTGTAAGAGGGAATCTCAGAGTGGTTTTGATTTGCATTGCCCTGATGACTAAGGATGTTGAACATTTCCTTAAGTGTTTTTCTGCCATTTGAGATTGTTCTGTTGAGAATTCTCTATTCAGATCCATACCCCATTTTTAATTGGATTATTTGGTAATTTGATTTCTAGTTTCTTGAATTCTTTGTATATTTTGGAGATCAGCCCTCTGTCAGATGTGGGGTTGGTGAAGATCTTTTCCCATTCTTTTACAGAAGCTTCTCAGTTTCAGGAGGTCCCATTTATTAATTGTTGCTCTTAGAGTCTGTGCTACTGGTGTTATATTTAGGAAGTGGTCTCCTGTGCCTATGTGTTCAAATGTATTTCCTACTTTCTTTTCTATGAGGTTCAGTGTGGATGGATTTATACTGAGTTCTTTGATCCATTTGGACTTGAGTTTTGTACATGGCGATAGACATGGATCTATTTGTATTCTTTTGTATGTTGACAGCCTGTTATACCAGCACCATTTGTTGAATATATTTTCTTTTTTCTATTTTCTATTTTAGCTTCTTTGTCAAAAATTAGGTGTTCATAGGTGTGTGGGTTGATATCGGGGTCTTTGGTTCGATTCCATTGGTCCCCCTGTCTGTTTTTATGCCAATACCAAGCTGTTTTCATTACTATAGTTCTATAGTAGAGCTTGAAGTCTGGGATGGTGATGCCTTCAGATGATCCTTTATTGTACAGGATAACTTTGGCTATCCTAGGTTTTTTGTTTTTCCATATGAAGTTGAGTCTTGCTGTTTCAAGGTCTGTGAAGAATTGTGCTGGGATTTTGATGGGAATTGCATGGAATCTGTAGATTACTTTTGGTAGGATTGCCATTTTTTACTATTTTGATCCTAGTGCCTTCTTTCAACATGGCACATTCATTTTGCTTCTTTGTGTATCTCTTCAGACCCCTCCCACTCTTTCTTCCCAGCAGTCTCTCCTCCCTGAAAATCCTACCTAACTATTGGCAATCAGGTTTTTCTTTTCTTCGAGACAGGGTTTCTCTGTGTAGCTTTGGAGCCTATCCTGGCATTCGCTCTGAAGACCAGGCTGGCCTCACAGAGATCCACTTGCCTCTGCCTCTCCAGTGCTGGGATTAAAGGTGTGTGCCACCAATGCCTCGATGGCCAATCAGCTTTTTATTAATCATGAGAGTAATGCATATTTACAATGTACAAAGATTGTTCCACAGCACTTCCTCCTTTTTGTCTAATTAAAAAGGAAGGTTTAACTGTCATAGTAAAATTATATACAATAAAATAGTTATCAAGTAAGAATTACAGTTACAATATCCAGTTCATTTTTATTTTGAAAATATAGAGAAAATACCATTCTTCTGATATTGTGAGTCTAAAATTTTTACCTAATTTATGCATTTGTCAGAAGTAAGGAAAACTTTTTTCTACTCATTTAGTCTTTAACTCTATCAAAGACCCCAGGAGGGTGAAATGCTAACTAACAATAGGGACCTCTGGCTGCCTGGACATCCACCCAAACTTCTTATGTAACATTGTCATATCCATCTTTGGCCTACAGGTCTATCATATCTGACAGATTTTTCTGAGAAGCAGTGAATTTTGAAGGACTGTTCTGCCTTGTGTTGGCAAAGTTTGGCAATTGATTTCTTTTGGGTCTTGCTGGTCCAGTTTAGACAGTCTACTTTTAGCAATTGAAGCAAGGACAGTTTCTTTGTCTACATGGCTAGCTTTTGCTATATGGAAGGCAAGGTCCATGCACAGTTTTTTTTTGATGCCAATCATCCTCTATGAAGAAAATTGGTGTTGTCAGGAGCAGACATGTCTCACTATCATGAAAAGGCTTAGGTTATTAAACATATTAAATGCCATATTCTGTATGTCTTTGGAGTGTTTAAAGACTATATGTCCCTATAAACATATTTGTTTTTTTTAAACGCACCATTTCTTTCTTTCTTTTTTTTTAGATTTATTTATTTATTATGTATACAGTGTTCTGCCTGCATGTATCTCTACAGGCCAGAAGAGGGCACCAGCTATCATTACAGATGTTTGTGATCCACCATGTAGTTGCTGGGAATTGAACTCAGGGCCTCTGGAAGAGCAGCCAGTGCTCTTAACTGCTGAGCCATCTCTCCAGCCCCTAAACATATTTGTTTAACCTTGAAAACATACATAATGAGACTACAAGTTTGATTACTATAGTTGACTATTAATCTTTTTCTTAACTAGACATTACATTTTAAAATGAGCTGTATAAACACATTGCCCCTCCCAAGAGCAGAAACATACATACAGTATAACAATAATAAATTTTAATTTTGTATCAGTAAACCAAAGTCCATACCAATGTAAACTATTTTTAGATTAGTAGTTGTTTTTTTGAGCGAAGTAGATTCAATAATCTACTCTTTTATCTCATCATTTCTACATCCTATCCCTTCTGTCGCTTACAACGTGATCTTTGAATTTAACTCTTTTGTTTAGCTTTTTTTTTTTTTTTACTGACTTGTAACTAATTCCCTAAATAGGGTTCCTTTGTGTGATAGTCCTTTCTGTCCTGGAAGCTCCTTTGTAGACCAGTTTGGCCTTGAACTCAAGAGATTTGCCTTCTTCTGCCTCTGCATCTCAGAATGCTGGGATGAAAGGCATGGCTGGGTTTGTAACACACTCTTCAAGGTGCTCTCCTAATAGTAATTTCTTTCCCATTAATCCCCAGCTTCCAGGGCTAAATGAATGATATTCTCTGAGGATCTAGTTATGTTCTGTAGACAGGGAATACAGTCACCAAAGCCCAGTTCTTTCAATAGTTGCTTTATTAGAGGGCACACTTTGTGGTGAATACAACCAGGCTGGCAGGGGTGGTGTAGGCAGTAACTGAGGTGACAAGTCTAACAGTGAATCCCTTTGTTCTTCTTGGTGTATGAAGCCTTGGAGAAGCAGATGGCAGCCTGAAGGTCACAGTTGCAGATGAAGGCCTCACAGGCATCATTTTCATCTACAGGGAAACAAGAAAGGAAGTTGACTGGAGCCCATCACGTTACTCTATATGATTTATAACCAAAAGACACTTGTCACCCGCCCAGTGGTGCAGACTTAGGGTTGAGAAACAGACCACACTAAAGGACATTGGGTTGCCCAAATTGCTGGAGCACACACAAAATAAAAAAATTCATCATTGTTAGGTTGGGGAGATAGCCCTGTTGGTAAAGCGGTTTCCACACAAGCATGAGGCCCTGATCTAGGATGCCCAGAGCCTGAGTGAAAAGCAAGGTGTGCTTGGCGCATCTGTAACTCTATGGGGAAATGGGGAGCACAGATCCCCAAAACTTGTTGGTCAGTCAGGTAGGCTAAAGGTGAGTGTCCTGTTTAGTGAGAGACCCAGCCTCTAATGACATAGTAGAGAGTGACTGCTGAAGACGCAGGATGCCCACTTATTCCTATACATAACAATAAATGAACCTGCGTATTTGATCCTAAAACCAGAAAAACTACAAATATCAATCACCACTTTTAAAATCACGTGCTTTGAGACAATCCCCCTGCCTCCACCTTCCAAGTGCTAGGATGGCAGGTGTGCACCACCACACTCAATGTATTGGTTCTGGAAGTGGAACCCAGGGCTCTGTGCATACTAGGCAAGCTCTCTAGCAAGTGAGCTATATTCCCAGGCCTCTGAATCCTCACTTGTAAAATGGGAATGATAAATCTTTCCCTGCATAGGTGTTTGGTCCAGTGTTTTGCTTACAGCCAGTGATGCAGCTTTCAGTTGTATAGTAAACATGGAATCACTTTAACACAGCAGCATCTTGGTGAGACTTTGGTCCGGCAAGATGGCTCAGGGAATAAAGGCACTTGCTGTCAAGTCTGTACCCTAATTTCATCCCCAGGACTCATGTGGTTGAAGGAGATAACAGACTCCTACATGCTGTTCTCAGATCTCTTCACCTGTTGTGGCACAGGCATGCTTCCCCCAGAAATACATAAATACATTAATGGTTTAAAAAAAGAGGCTATGGAATGTTGCATGTCTTTGTTCCAGAACCAGATGCCATCACTTCTAAGCTGGGTGACCTTGGGCAAATGACCCAGCCTTCTTCATCTTCCCCATCAGTGACCTCATTTATGTTTTAGTGGCTACATGATAAGGTTGTTGTGATGTCAAATGAGATCAGGGAAATGTCCACTAAATAGTGACTGTCCTTATTACTTCCCTGCCCCTTTCAAACCTATCCAGGACCAAGCAGAATTCAGAGTCCCCAGAGGGTAAACCTACCACTGCAGGTGACCTCATTCCCAGAGCATGAGAATGAGTAGGGGGTGGTGTAGGGGCTGTGTGGGAATGTGCAGATTTCCAGCTTCTTGGCCTGATCATAGCAGTGGTCCTGAGCCTTGCAGCACCTGGAGAGAGGAAGGAACAACTAAGGGAGGAGTATGGACCCAAAGGAGGTCAGTTCTTACTTGAATTCCTTCTCAAACATGTGAGGATGACTTAAACACAATGTTCCAGAAGTAATAGTCCTCAGGCTTGAGAATCTTAGATTTGTATTAAGCATGTTTATTGAAATCATCTTCTGTGGAGTGTGGTTGGTGCTGGTCTTTAATCTCAGGACTTGGGAAGTAGAGACAGTTGTATCTCTGAGTTTGAGATCAGCCAGGGTACAAAAGTGAGACCCTGACTCAAAAAAGTGATTTTTTTAAAACAAAGCTGCAGGAATAGTGAAATTATATATCCAGAAGTTTTGATGATGGTTCAAAGCCAAATTTCACACTTGGATGGTGGCTGTGATGGTTGTCTGTGCCCTAGTCTGGCAACTGAGGACAGCATTGACCACTATTTACATCTCACACATTCTGCCTCCCAGGACCAATAAATATAGGGTCCTCTTGCACAGATTTTTTACATGACAAGAGGGGAAAATACATGTTGGGTGTGGTGATGCAGACCTTTAATCCCAGCACTCAGGAGGCAGAGGCTTGAAGATCTGAGTTCAAGGCCAGTATGGTCTCCAGAGACAGATTCAGGAAACCTAGGCTACACAGAAATCCCTTGTCTGGAAACAAGCAAATAAAAATGAATAATTAATATACAAAACGAATATATGCTGTTTGGTGAACATTCATTTCTCCTGTTCTTGAGTCATGAGATGCTCTGCTTGAGCCCAGACCTCACCCCACACAGACCCTGAAGTCTCCCACCAGATGGATCACTCACCTGTCTAACTCATCCACTGGAGTGTATGAACCACAGAAGCAGCTATAGGTGTTGTAATCCTTCAAGGGATGACTCCCTTGGATGGTGCACTCCATCACATTACTGAACTGCCACAGAACCTGACGCTTGACATCGTGTGCTGTAGCGCCTGATGCAAGAACACACAGCACATTCCATCAATCCCACTTGGCTTTACCAGGGGGCTGATGCCTGCCTGCTAGCTTCCTCCTTGACTCTTACCTTCATCTGGAGAGCAGCAAATAGAGGTCTGAGGAGGTCAGAGGAGTTGGTTTTCTACCTCCATTGTGTAGGTCTTGGAGACCAAACTCAAGTCACCAGCCCTATTAGAGACAGAAAGTTGCCCTGTATCCCAGGCTAGCCTCCAAGTCTGTAACAACCCTCTGGCCTCAGCTACCTGAATAATAGGATTATAAATGAACACCACTGTAGTGATCCTGGCTGCCTCTTTGAGATTAAGTTCTATAGACATTGTGTTTTGCCTTGCTTGCCTTCTTATTTCTCACTGTCAGGATAGACAGTAGCCACACTGTGAGCTGCCCTGTGGTCCCTGTGTTGAGGAACTGAGAACACTCTCCAGTCAGCAGCCAGGCAAGGACTGACCTCTTAGTTCAGTAACCCAACAACCCAACCATCTCTTGAGTGTGAAACCTGCCACCCCTACTCAAGCCTATGTGAAACCCCAGCCTTAGCCAGCAGTGGGATTCATCACAATTATAGCAGAGACCTTGAGCCAGAAAAGTGGCCAACACATGCTTATTGTTTTACATTGGAGAATCAGAAGGAATCTGTTGTGTGGCCACACAACACCATGTGTAATATCTGTATTTGACATAGCAAACTGTTCATCAGTTGTGGAGTATGTAAATAAACCAGGGTGCAGTCTGCAGTGGGATATATGGTCACCACTGAAATGAAGGAGAAGCCAGGGACAGTGGAACACACAGTGTGTGTTCCCAGCACTCTGGAGGATTAAGCAAAAGGACAGAAGTTCAAGGTTGCCAGGGGTTGGTGGCACAGGACATTAGTCCCAGAACTCTGAAGGCAGAGGCAGGATATCTGTGTTCAAAGCCAGCCAGGTTTATAGAGTGATTTCCAGGACAGTCATGGCTGTAAAACCAAATAAATAATAATAATAATAATAATAATAATAATAATAATAACAATTGCAGACACAAGCCAGACTAGTATGTAAACCTAACACTTTGGATGTTGCAGCAAGTCTAGTGTTTAATGTTGAGTTTGAGGATATCATGAGCTGCATTATAATGTTATATCAATAATAATAGAAATAATAATAACAAGAACAGCTATAATAAGGGCTAGAGAGATGGCTCTGCAGCCAGGAGCATTTACTGAGCTTGTGTAGGACCAAGGCTCAATTTTAGCATCCACGTGGCAGTTCACAATTGTCTCTGACCCAGTTTTGGAAGATCAGACCCCTTTTCTGTCCTCTATAGGCACTGCTCACACAGTCCACAGACACACATGCAGGGAAAATGCTCATACACATAAAATAACTATATATTTTTTTTAAGAATGAGAAAAACGAAATCACAAGGGCACCTAATGGTGAGGGAAATGAGTACCAGGGCAATATGGCAGAGGAGAGGATCTTCCTTTCCTTGTGTAGGTAAATGTAGTGGACATTTCTAAGGAATCATCTCAGGTCAGACCTAGAGGCTAAAGATGCCCACTGTTGTAGACATGGGGTGAGCAGGGAACCCCCCCAACCCAGAGGTCATTAGACTCCAATGGGAACTCCAAACCAGAACTTAATAAGTGACCAGTGGGGGCTGTGCATTGAAGACAAGAGACACTCAGAGGGGACAAGGATCCTACCTGTGAGCAGAGTGACTAGCAGAAGGAGTTTCATCTTAGTCAGGGCAGGACTCAACTGACTTCTCTCTGTATAGTCCTGTAGCTGAGCTCTGACAGTGTCCAGTCAGCACACAAGGCCTGTGACTACTGTGTGTGAAGCACAAAGGTAGAATGTGTCCACCCTCACAGACAGTTTTGACAGGCAGAGCTACTGTAGATGGTGGCAGAGCCTGAATCAGTGCTGTCACAGAGGCAAAGAGTAATGGCTGGCTCAACACCCCACAGCAGCTCAAGTGCAGTGACTGACAAAGTGCCAAGTCCTTCCCACATGGATGCTTTAAAGTCACAAGAAGATATAGACATTGCCCCTAGGGTTGTGTCTGAGGGATGCTGACAGTGATGTGTGTGCCCAGGTAGGAGTTGCTGGTCCCAACAATCCTCCATGTTAACTGTATAAACTAATTGCTAAGTCTGTCCCAAGACCTGACACAGCCTTTGAGGTAGATCCAGTTGTAATTTTCATTGTTAATCGACTGATTAATTTGTGCATGTTTGTGAATGAGAGAGAATCAGAGAGAGAGAGAGAGAGAGAGAGAGAGAGAGAGAGAGAGTGCACTTGTGTCACATGTGGATATCAGAGGTCAACTCTGTGGAGTCAGGTTTTTCCTTCTACCTTTAAATGGGTTCCAGAAATCGAAGTAGGCCTACAGGCTTACATCATAGGCCACATTTTACTAGCCTAAAAATTCCATTTTAAATTTTTTCCCATCCTTTTACTCTGAGGTATCGCCTGTCTTTGAAGTTTAGGTGTGTTTCTTGTATACAGCAGAAGGATGGATTCTGCCTTCGTATCCATTCTGTTAGCCTATATCTTTTTATGGGTAAGTTAAGACCATTGACATTTAGGGATATTAATGTCCCATTGTTGGATGGTTCTTGTTTGTTTTGGATTTACTGTTGGTGGTGTCATTGTGTGTGGATTTCGCCCTCCTGTTTCTTTTTGTGTTTGGTGAAACTAGATTATCTATTGCCTGTGTTTTTGTAAGTGTAGTTATGTTCGTTGGGTTGGAGTTTTCCTTCCAGAACCTTCTGTAGTGCTGGATTTGTGGATATGTATTGTTTAAATCTGTTTTTGTCATGGAATATCTTGTTTTCTCCATCTATAGTGATTGAAAGTTTTGCTGGGTACAGTAGTCTGAGTTGACATCCATGCTCCCTTAGTGCTCATAGGGTATCTATCCACGACCTTCTGGCTTTCAGAGTTTCCATTGAGAAATCGGGTTTGATTCTGATTGGTTTGCCTTTATATGTTACTTGGCCTTTTTCCTTTGCTGCTCTTAATATTTTCTCTTTATTCTGTAGGTTTGGTGTTTTGATTATTATGTGTGGAGGGGCCTTCTTTTTGTGGTTCAGTCTGTTTGGTGTTCTGTAAGCTTCTTTTGCTTTCATAGGAATATCCTTCTGTAGGTTGGGGAAGTTTTCTTCTATGATTTTGTTGAATATGTTTTCTGTACCTTTGAGCAGTGTTTCTTCACCTTCTTCTATACCTATTATTCTTAGTCTTTTCATGGTGTCCCATATTTCCTGGATATTTTGTGTTAGGGATTCATTTGTCTTGAGGTTTTCTTTGGTTGATGAATGTATATCCTCTAGGGAGTCTTCAATAGCTGAGATTCTCTCTTCCATCTCTTGAATCCTGTTGGATACACTTACATCTTTAGTTCCTGATCGTTTATCCAACCTTTCCATTTCCAACATGGTCTCATTCTGTGTTTTCTTTATTGTGTGTATTTCAGCTTTCATGCTTTGAACTCTTGCCGAGATAAGTTTTGAGGTCCATCTCATCTTCATGCTCTGTGTTGGGCTTTTCAGATCTTGCTGGAGTGGAGTCCCTAGATTCTGGTTGTGTCATATTGGTCTTTCTGTTGTTGAGTGAAATCTTAATCTGTCTTCTTTCCATATCTTCTTCCAGGGGGTGCAGGTGGGTTCTCTCTATCTCCTCTTGTGACCCAGTGGTGTGTGTGGGCCAGGAATTCAATGTCTGCAACTAGTTGTGGATCGGTTGGCGGAAAGGGAAGGAAGAGTGGGGTGTTTCCAGATTCAGGGAGCAGGGAGCTCCTCCATGCCTGGGTGTGTCTACCCCAAGCAGGCAGGTGCAGGCTGAGTGGGGGAGGTCAGGGTGAATGATAGTTTGGGTGGGGGTTGAGTAAGGGCAGAGGCTCACTCACCTCGTTTGTGGGTCGGTCAGTGGAAAGGGGACCTTGGGAATTGTTAGCCTCAGTCTGTGTACTTTTGTGGAAAATTACCCTGTGTTGTGTGTTTAGGCACAGTGAAGACTGGAAGGCCACCAGGAACTAACCCTGTTTTCAGGTCATTTACTGTCATTCCACTTTGGTTTCCTGTATCCCACTTACTATGATGAGCATACAGCAGAAGCTCTTTGAGTCAGGTATTTCTAGGACCAAGATGTTCCTTTAGTGTCCATGTGACACTGCCTCTTCTCTCTTCTTTCCCCTTCCACCTCTCTGTCTTCCTTTTCCTTGCTACTGTGGCATCTGTGCCATGACTAAGTGTGAGTATTGGGCGAAAGCCTGGAGATTTAGTTAAAAGACGAGCTGTTTGGCTACTTGTGCTATGTGTGTCTTTCTATCTTTATTTGTCTTCCATTTTCCAGGGAGAGAGCAACCTTATATACTCTTCCAGCATAGTGGAGAAACCCCAGGTGCAAGAGCTCATGGAAGAAGAGCTCATGTTTTCCAAGGTGTAGTGGGTGGAGGCTGGTACTGTAAGCAAGGACTAGAACACAGGATGCACCTGTGGTTATTGGCTGACAAGCAACTCACAGAGACCCCGTGGGGGCTGGGACCCAACATTTCCCCCTTCTTTACATATAAATTAGCGCCTGTCTTAGGTGAGTAGGATGTTGATGCCACCTTTACCGGTCAATGGAGAAATCACCCAGGCTGCATGACTCTCCTGTCTTAGGTTGGTTGGCATCCCCTTGGTCTCACCATCATTGGCTGCCTAATTTTTCTGTAGGCTCAACCATAGTTGAGCTGAAGGATTCTCTGTGGTCATGGAGTGACAAATTGAACCTAGGTTTGTCTAGCCCCGAGGTGCCTTAGCCAAACACAGCATATGATAACAAGTCTTATGGCTGCAAGGCCCAGAGAGAAGGGCCTAGCCCACTCTTTGACTAAATGGCCTGCCATATGCAATCCCCTAAGGATGATCTCTCCAGAGGACAGAGGAACCCAGGTCTCATTTATCCTAATAATTTGATTGGCCAATTGATGAGTATAATTTGTTGATTAAGATTTAAACTTCCTACTAAGTTATTTATGGAGCTCTGAGTGCTAAGAACCTCTGTTACTTCCCCTGCCAGTTTATCCACGGTGCTGGCTGTAGTTACAGACTGTGAGATGGCAATCCCAGACACAATGGCTGCTGTAGCAGCAACAGCAATAGCTGCAATCACCCCAACAGTGATGCCAAAATCTTTTTTTGTCCATCAACTTGCAAAATGGCCAGCCTGTTGAGAAACTGGAACTCTGGAACCCACTGCCTCCTTTCTTTCACGGAGTGTAGATTCGATGACATTAAGGGTCAGGAACACTGGTTCAGTGTGTTTCACTGGAACTGGCTTGGGCAGGCTCCCATGGTCTCAGATCTGGTTTTTCTCTGCTCCATGCATCTCATCAAATGTTCTGGCATCCATCTTGCTTTATTCTTTTCCTGCAAGAAAACACAAACATGCCCTGGACCCCAAATTAGGGCAGGATCGGGTCTTCTCCACTGTCTAATGTATTATGTGGAAACTGGGGACAGTACTCCCCCTTCTTTTTATCTTTTGATGTTGCTTTTTCAAGGAGCTATGAGAATGCTCCAGAATTTCTTGTCCTGGAGGGTAATAAGAAATTTGATCATTTTTCTATTGAGTACAAAATAGCTGAAATGCCTTACTAGAATATCCAGATCTATTGTCTATTTTTTATCATTTTTGCAACTCCCATGTAAGCAAAACATTTAAAAAAATGACTTATCATATGTTCAGAAACCTGAATACCTATTAACTGCCATGTGAATATATAAGTAATATCCATTTGCCATAAACTATTAGGAAGTAGGCTTCGAGGGTTCACTCCTAAGTTATAGATAAATGTTGTGGGCACACCTTATTGTTTGATAATTTTGATGAGCAGTCTCTCTAGTTCATGAGATTGTAGAGCTCTCTCCACCTGAGATAAAGCAACCAATTTTGTCAATCAATTTGTTGACTTGCCAGTGGGCTGGGAAGGTTTGAATGAGCTCTTGGGTCACCCACAAAACAAGGCAATTTTCTTCTTTAGTTAACTGTCTAGGTGAATTGAATTAGAATCTTGCTTAAAGGTTTTAAATTGCCAGTCGATGCCCTTAAAAAAGGACGTAATGATAGAATATTTCCCAACAACTTCTGAAAATCAAAGATTGCAAACTATCCTTTCTAATCTCTAATTTTTGAGGCTTAATTTCTTTAGGCTATAACATATGTCCCAAACACCTTTTGAAAATTACTTGAAGTTTGTGAGTAGTGTTTTCTAATCCAACCTATAAAGCTCTCATTAGCTGTCAATGTCTCATTTGTATCTTAGCTGACACGGCCTAATTTGTATCTATATTGATTCCTTCCCAAGTGGGGTCTAACAGGGCAGCCATTAACTTTTATTCTCTAGATTTTCTTTTTTAATCATAAAAATTTAGGAGGATCTCTGTATCCTCTCCTCAGCTAAACTCTATAGTGTCATCCACACAGATTCCTTTTGCTCTTAGGCCATGCTGTAGGCTTCTGCTATTTTTTCTGACTGACTCTGAGGGCTCAACCTTTCCTTTTAAGACCTTGACTGACTTATTGGATGCTCTTTTAAACTATATCTGAAGCAATTCAAGTATCCTTTTAATCATATCCAAAGCAATTCAAGCAGTTTCTTTTGTCAACATTCAGGCAGTCACAATCACATCCCATACATACCAGTATGGCCACACCATACACACAGAGCATGCACACATCTCTCATCT